TATATATATATAAAAACACAGCCTGACCCTACAGTGAGAAGAGAAGGCCTGGTCTAACAGGGCCGCTCCTCTGGGGAGTTGTCCTTCACAAAGTCACTCCCTTTGCCCTTCCCCAAGGGTGTTGACCCTTCCTAATCCTTTTATGTCATCTTCTCCCCTTTGCCCAGCTTTCTAAATTCGAAAGAGAAGCCCCACCTAAAATGGTTAAGATATGAACTGTTAAATAATCTTTCTCTAGATTTACATAACACAGAACATCTGGTGATCTTTGTAACACCCCTCCTACTTCTCTGCATCAGCTCACACAAACCATGGAAACCGATGTGAGGTGTGACTTGCAGAAAAGTAATATACTGTCTAAAAAGAACTACCAGAGCCAGCCCCAGGAGGCCAGGTCCACTGGGATGGTCTAGAGAAGAAGACAAAAAAAAAAAAAAGGCCCTGGTTGATGAAAACCCTGTTTAGCCTGTAGACTTCCTGCCCTGCTCCTCCTGCCCTCCCTATAAAGCTTTGTGTACTCCTGCGCCCCTGAGGTTGGAGCTTTGAAGTTGATAGCCCTCTGGCTTTTCCAGCACTTGCCCTTGAATAGCCTGATTCCTTACTACCAGCTGTCATCTCTGAAACAGTGGCCTTCAAGGGGCCATCAGCCCAGACTTTATTGCAATAGCAATGAGGGGCTTAGGTTGAGATAAGAGGGAACTAGAGACTGATTTGAGTAGGTGGCTGCAAAGCACCAGGGCAGAGGCAGTGCCCATGTCCTGGGGAGTGATCTGCCATCCATCCCCTAACACCTGCCCCCTCCATGCAGGGTCCAGGTCTACTTGCAACACTAGCACCACTGATTTCCCAAAGACCACCTCTGCTTGGAAGTGGATTTGGGGGAGGAACTGTGCACTGAAGTGCACCTCAAAGACAGGAGATGTAAATGGAGTCGAGAGGACCAACCAGGCCAATTGCCACCATCACTGGGGAAAGTTCAGTCTCCAGCTCTCACAAGGCAGCTTGGGGAATTAGGCTCCCCACCCGCTCTTGGCGGGACTGCAAATCACCACCACCACAGTCTCTTTGGAGCACAACATTTTGCTCCTGCCACCTTGATTATAAATAGTGACAGATTTTATCTTATATAAACTTTACAGCTTGTTGTTGTTTTAGATTTTTTTGTTTTGGTTTTGTTTGGAGATTTGCTTTTTGGTCTTTTTTTCTTTTCTTTGAGACCAGGTCTGGCTGTCTAGCCCAGGCTGGCCTCAAACTTGTGATCCCCTACCTCAGCCTCCCGAGGGCCGGGATTATAGGCATGTGTGGCCACGCCCAGTGAATTTCATAAGCTTTAAAAATTATGTCTCAAAAATAAATATGTTAATTAATTAATTAATCTCATTTTATCTCTTAGCCCTCAAGGTTATAAACTTCACTGCTGTCCAACATAGAGAAGAAGAACCTAAAAGAGGGGCCACATTGCTAGTGTAACCTCTGCTGGGGTGAGAAGATACAAGTCCACTCCATTACCAGAAAGGAAATCTACCCGCAGACAGTCTAAATCCAGGGCCAACTCCAGTCCCTCAGGGACTCTCCATTGTCTCTCCCTCTAACCAAGAGCCCATCCAATAAACTTCCAGAACTTCCTCCTTGTTCCCTCCCTGTGGTCCTGACCACTCTCAGTGGCTCCCAAGTTGGCCCCTTAGCTATGCCACAGAAGTGCATTTGGACTTAGAGGTAAAAATTACTGGGGCTGGGGATTTAGCTCAGCGGCACAGCGCCTTCCTGGCAAGCGCAAGGTCGTGAGCTCCATTCCCAGTACCAGAAAAAAAAAAAAAATTACCTATCAGCCCCAGACCAGATGGACCTGAATCAGCACTTTCTTAAGATCCCAGGTGATCCTATGACCATGAAAGATTTAGAATTATTGTTCTAGAGCCTCAGACCCTCTGGAGGGGAATCTGGTCACAAAAGTGAATGATAGCTATCCAGTCTTTTTCCTGCAAACACTGGCAACTTCCCATTGCCTCCAGTCTCTCAGTTATGGTGTTGACAGCCTCTGCCCCTCAGCTTTTTTCTACATCTTGCCAAAAACCTCACTAGAAGGTAGTGAGGAAGGGGAGAAAAGGAGAACATAGAGGTACACTGAAAATGCAGGAAAGGAGGGCAGGAAGGAAGGAAGAAGGAAGGCAGGCAGGCAGGCAGGCAGGAAAAGGCCAGGGTTCACAGAGAAGGTGCCTGGTTGGGTCCCTCTACTTCCCCGTCTCCTACCCTGGAAAATCATCCAGCAGTTCCCCTATTGGTTTTCCATATGACTAAACAGCACGGGTCCTATCTCATCACAGCACCAGCCACCTGGCAGCCTGTCCCCAGTTCCTCCAGCTCCCAGAGCCCGGTGGAGCCTGCAGACCCAGGCACACCACCCAGCCCCACCTTCTTTCACCACACTCATGCAGAAAGGGCTCTCACTGGTGACCTGGCTGGGTGTGGGGCTGCTGGGTCTCCAGATGCTTCACCATGGAGGGGTCCATTCGACTGCTAGCCTACTTGGCGTGTGTCATCCCAATGGGTAAGTTTCAACTATCCTCCAAGGCCCAGAATAGACAAAATCTTACTGTGGTCTCCTCTCAGACCTCAGCATCTAGGTTTTCCCAGAGCTGCCAGACCTGGGTAGGAGGAGAAGCTGTGCTTTAAAGGGCTATCCTGACAGAAGCCAGTTCAAATGTGGGTGGGCTTTGCCTTGGGATTCCGGGCGATTTGAAGCAGTCTCCTGACTTCCGGGGCCTCAGTGTCTCCACTGAACAAAGGCCCCCTCTCCCACTTATTGCTGAGGGGTGAAGAACTGGCCCAGCATGGGGAAGACTGTGTGAGCTCTGAATACCCTTGGTTGTTGCTGCCATCCCAGGGCTTTGTCTTGATGCTCACAACCCAGGGGACAAGGCGAGAAAAGCACAGTTGTCTGGCAACCGTGTCGGGATAAGATGGAATGATTTCATGAGGGGAACTGGATCAGTGATGGAGGCCGCCCTGACCTCCCAGCGGGAGTGAGAATGCTCCCATGGCAGGCTAAAGTTACCATGTCGCTTCACTCAGTGAACTGGTGCCTGTGGACACAGTGCCTTGCAAAGGGTGCAAAGGGACCAGGGACCATCTGCATCTGATCTCAGGGGAGGACATAGACCCTTTGGCTCCATCTGAGACCTGCAGAATCAGAGTACCAGGTAGCAGGGCCAAGGAATCTTCATTTCCAACCCTCTTCTTGGGTGATCCTGCTGCCCAGCACAGTTGAGGGCAAGGGGTAGAAATGGCCAGGGCAATTTTCTTCAGCCCTGCTCAGCAGGCCCAGTCCTTTCCCAGTCCAGACGCCAAAGTCCCTTCCATACTCTGCTCCTGGCGTCTGCAACTGTGCCTCCGTGAGCCCGGCCATCTCATGTGCTGCATCCTGGCGCTGTGATGTCGTAAGCTGTCAGTTGTTGGCACGGGGTCCTGCTTCCACACCTGGATGACAAACTTCCACACCTCTGACTCCTGTTCCTTCCCCCTTAGCACTTATCACAGTGTGGGGTTCGTTTCTGGTCTGGTTTGCACGGTGTAGAAAGCACCCGTGTAGTTCCAACGAAGTGCTGGGTGCTGTGGTAACTCTCATAATCCTGTAGCCCTGTGCAAGGGGAACAATTCCTATTCCCTCTTCACTGGTGAGGAAATGGCACACAGAGGCTCAGTGAGCAGCATATGAATCCTGCTGCACATGACTCCAGCTCACACTGTCATTGTCCCATGACAGGGACCCGAATAAGGGAAGAGCTCTCTTCTCCCAAGCTGACCTAACTCAGCCATCTTTCCAGGATGATTTAGGGCTGGGTCCCACTAAGAGGGCGGGAGTTGGGGGAGGTGACCCTGTTCAGTGCTAAGGTCGTGGACAGGTGAGCTGTTAAGGACATGGATGCTGATGTCAGACACAGCTTTGAATCGTGGCTCTGCCATTCACTAGCTGTGCGCCTGGAACAATGTCTAATTCATGGTTCTGCCGAGCCCATGTAGCTCCTGGTGCTCAGAAGCTGGACAATAAGTGGTAGCTAAATCCCACAGAAATCACATTGCTTCAAGAGAGATGGTCTTTGGTGGTTTGAGTCAGAGTTTGCTTATTTTTCTCCTGCTGAAGGTCAGCTGCTATGAATCAGTTAAAGACAAAAATATTTAGAGAAAGCATGAGCCAGCCACAAGTTCAAGAACCAAAGACAAACTGCACACATGCTCTAGCTGTATGTGGCCATCATCAGAGAGACCAACACATGCGTGGGCCAGCTCACTGAAGAGACCCTTTAGCCCTACATACCAGTGGCTGCTTTGTGGCAAAAGCCACAAGGCCCAGGAACCAGGGGGATCCAGGAATACCACTTCCTGAACCCTTATGGTTTCTGCTCACCTGTGAGCCTCCCCAGGTGGCCCAGCTAGAGGACACAGGCTGCTGCCTGGAAAGGAAACCCTGAGGACCGGGCTCAGCCCCACTGCCATGTGCAAGTGCCCTAGGGCCCTTGAGCAGGGCACCCCACTAACACGGGCCCAGTGGTCACATCACTGCCCTGTCATATCTAGAAATATGGCCCAAGGGAGGGCCTGATACAAGTGGGAGGAATCCGTCTCCGGAACGATCCTTCCCATGCCCTCCTCCTTCACACTGATGCCACCCACATCCAGCACCCAATCCCCTAACCCAGTGGCAGTGAACTATAGCATGTGTGCCACAGCCAGCTGTGTTATCATTGAAAGTTCTAAAAGGTTCGCCATCAGTGCATCCCTCAGGGTCTTCCTTGCCTGTCTCTCTACTCCTCCCCAAATCTGGCATTAAAAAGCCAGAGAGGCCAGGCAGTGCGGGGAGGAGGAAGTACACTGGTCTGGGAGCTCTGCTCACCAGAGAGGCTGTGCAGGTTTCAGTGGGTCCACAGTCTGGGATAAGCAGGTGTGGCAATCACAATAGCTGCCATCCTTAGGGATCTCTGTACCAGACCAGTGGCCAACAGCCCATTTACTCTTCACCACAACCTACCTGCAAGGGTCAGGGCCTTGCCCCCGTTTTAAGGGTGCCACAGTGACTTTGCTGGGGCATCACTGCTTGGATGTGAACAGGAACCTTCTGAAGGCACACCTGGCTCCTCACACCACCTACACGCAGGGGGACCTGGGACAAAGCTTGGTGCTGAGAGTTATTTACTTTACCAGCTCTGAACCATGTAGAAAAACAAGCCAAGATGGTAACACAAATGGCAGCAGTCACCCAAGGCCCTGGGGCTGCTTGGGTGCGATGTGAGGAAAGGTCAGGGAGAAGAGAAGCAGCTGTTGTAGGGCCCGCAGGAAGCAGGAAGGCTTAATGTGTGGGACTCTTCTGCTCCCTGTGGCTGTTCTGAGCATATTTGCTGGACTGGGGAAGGGAGGAGAAAAGAAGCCAGGCAAGTGTGGCAGGGACAGGCAAAGTGGGAGAAGTGCTCTATGGTGTGCACCGGCCCTAGGACAAGGGCAGCATGGGCTTTGCAACCCCATAAACCCAGGTGAACAGGCCACACCCTCAACCCCTCGGCAGGAGGAATGGGTTAAGGGGAAGGCAGGCTGACCCTGAGGGCAGTGGAGACCAGCCAGCCTTTGCTCACATTCCCTCACACTCATACTTGTGGAACCTTCTGGAGCTGGTTCACACGGAGGGATGGAACTCCTGCCTTCTGTCTTCTCTCTTTCCTGGCCTCCCCAGTCTCCATCGTGTTGGCAACGTGTCCTGACCACCTGAAAACGCAGGCGGAGATCTTGGGGAGCAAATTGAGGGGCAGGAGGAGCCCAGCAAGAGCCATTTCCTGTGGGGAAGTTTTCGTGGCCAGGGTAAACATGGCTTCTTGCCCCCAAACACCCTTTCCTGACCCTCCAAGAGATGGGTACATCTTTCCAGTGCCACAGTGCCCCTTGCCCAGCACTGAAGCCACTTCCTGACAACACCCTTGTTAGTGTGCCCAGGGGCCTCAAGGAGGGCAACCTCTTTCAATAGCTGGGCTTGGCAGATTGGCTGCCTGTCAACTGGGAGTGTCAGGCCTGCATGTGGTGGAGGGGACAGAAGCACAGCAGGCCTCTGAGGGTCTCTGGTTCTAAGTGCCATGGTGCCAGCCCATGATGATGGGCCATTTGGCAGCATCTCTTCCCCAGCCTTAAAGTTCATACCTTGCTCCTTCCAGAAACGTGTAAAGCCCACCCCAATGGACCCAATGCTGTTGATATGCCATTCTTTGAAAGCACCCCCTCTGGTCCCACTGTGACCACCACGGAGCTCGTCTAACTGTCTATGGAGCTTCAGGAGGTTCTTTAATCCCAGCCATTATGAAATACATCAAAAAACACACACAAAGTAACTGTGTGGTGGTGGTGCACACCTGTAATCCCAGCACTTGGAAGGCTGAGGCAGGAGGATCGCCATGAGTATGAGGCCAGCCTGGGTTACATAGGGAGTTCAAGGCCAGCCTGCGCTACATAGCAAGACCCTTTCTCAAAAAACAAAACAAAACATAATGCACAGAGTTATCTGTCTGCCTTCTGCCATGAAACTGATTAGCAGCGTCCCTTAGAATTAACAAAGTATGACTGCATTCAGCACCCAGCAGGGGTTCCAAAACCTTTGGCCAACTGTGGTCAAAACCAGGGATTCTATTTCTAGACCTGTACAATTCTATTTCTGAACCACCTACACTCTGAAGCTCTGTCCCTTTTAAAAATTTCCTTTGAGATGGGTTTTTGCTGCATAGTCCAGGGCTGCCCTTGAACTCAACTATGTAGCCCAGGTTGGTCTTGAACTCTCAATGCTCCTACCTTAGCCTCCTGGGTGTTAGGACTACTGTCACACCACCACACCTGGTTCAGCCTGTCCTTTCTCCATGAGTTCTGTTCTCACCATGGTCACTCTGTTGTGGGGGTTTGGGGGCATCAGATCAACTCCTCCCTAACATCATGAGCAAGGCCTGATACGTAGGAACTCAAGCAGTGCCCCATTCCCGTTTAGATCACCAGGAGGTGGCCAAAAGTTACAGTGCTTTAGTGATTGGCTGTGAAGGACAGTCAAGTCATGGGGACATCTTTGCCAGTGTCTGCATTTTCAAGCTAGCGAGTGGCTTCTTTTTAAGTACCCAAAAGGCTTTAATTTAACTAGTCGTAGAACATTCTATGTATTTCCATGTTTATTCAAATTTGGTTTTGGGACATAGATATTTATATTTAAAAGTCACTCTAGAAAACAACTAGAAATATCATCCTATGAGTGAGCCTGCTGAGGCCAGAGAGCTATGGAAACTTACCCAAGGCCCCAAAGTCAGCTCCAAAGCTATGACTGGCACCCACCAGATCCAACGTGCCATCCTCAAGGTGCACCACTGGACAGGACACCTCTTGTGACATCAACTTTTGTGGTGACTCAAACAATCACTGTGCACACCTGCCCCACCAGCCTGCTGCGTGCCATGGTGATTTGGGGCTGTCTGGGTTTAGTCCTTCTCTGAGTGGTCCTCTGACCCTGCACTTTTTGTCGTTTTTGCTCTGAGCCACCATTACATTGCTTTTGCTGAACCATTGAGGGATTGTCAGCTGTTATTTCTTCTTGCTGCCTCCAAAGGGCCTGCAGACAGAAACCACTTTCCAGCTTCTCCACTGTTATTTCCCTGACTGGAAAGCTAAATAAACTTGTTAGAACTGTGTGTAAATTAAAAACAACAGCTGGGTGTGGCAGCCCATACCTGTAATCCCAGCTACTCGGGAACAGACGGCAGGAGAATTACAACTTTAAGCCCAGCCTGGGCAACTTAAGGAGATCCCTATCTTAAAAAATAAATAAATGAATAAAAGGCAACAGCAGAGCACTAGCCGGACTGTCAATCTATTGAGGGGAGCATTGTCCCTGGAGCTGTATGAACAGTAAACTCTCAAGAAATAGAGTGATCTATAGAGTGATAAGTAAATGATTAATTTCCAGTAGAGCTAAGGGCAAGAACTGGGCTATTTTACTTTCACTGGTCTAAAATGCCCCATGCAACTGTCAAGGATTTGGTGTAGGAGTGTGTGAGCCCTGCTGGGCTATTACCCCGGGGATCTCTTCCCCACTGGTTAGGAATTGCCTATCCCTCTGCTCACTCCAGGCCCAATCACAGGACTGGTGAGGGAAAGAACCCAAGAGGAGCATGTGCTGTGCATAGGAATAGCAGGGCGAGCTACCTGCTTGGTTCCATTCAGTCCTCCATCCTCTGAGGAAGCTGATAGTTCCCCATTTCACAGCAGAGGAGCCTGGGGCCTGCCATATCAGTAATTTGCCTGAAGATCACCCAGTTCATGAAGGAGCCTGACCCAGTGCCAAGCACAGGCAAGGTGCTTGATGAAAGCACACCCTGAGATGGGAGGGTCATCTAGGCCATCTGTGCCAAAGTGGGCAGGCTTTGTACCTCCTGTTGACCCCTGGAGACTGATACACATGAGGCAGACAGATTAGAGACCCTGCAGTAAGGGGCCACGGTTCCATTTCAGGCATCATCCCTGCTCCATCTCAGCAGCCTGGCAGGAGCTGCCAGAGGCAATGCTAAATATCACCGGATGCTAGGAAGCTTGGGCCTCTGCCAAAGCAAATGCCTTTGTTCCCTGGACAGTTCTCACCCTCACCCTCACCTTAAGTCACCTGGGCGGGCTCATCCAAAGGTCTCCGTGTAAGAGGGAGTCCAGTGCCTGCCTCTTTGCACGCCATTCAGCAGGTAAACCGGAAGCCCACACCTCCTTTTTCATGCATCCTCCAATCCCTGCCCCTGCCCAGTGTCCGCACACCCGTCTCCACTCACCCCACCCTCTCCTGCCAGCCTGACCCCTCCCTTCCGCTGTCTCATAGCAATTCAGTTGAGCATCAATTACCAGGAGGTAGACATCAATTACAGGTGCCAGGCAACAGCCACACAGATGTAGTCTCCACCCTCCAAGAGCTTTAGATAAGAGGCACAGCCAGGCAATGCCCAGATTTGGAAGTGCATATGCCAGCCCTGGTGGGAACAGAGGAGGGATGCCAGAGCCAGGCTTGGGATTCATGGAAGGCTTCCTGCCGTAGAAACAGCTCAGCAGAAGACTGAGAATGGGAGGAAGCTGGTTAGTGAAATGGGCCAGGAACCATATTCAGACAAAGCGATATTGTTCATGTTCATCATTAGAGCACCTGGCAGACAGCAGTGTACCTAAGTGTTCACAGAGCTGTCTACCTTTCTGAGCTGTGGGCTCCTGCAGGCTGATAAGGTACCCTGTTCATTTTTGTCCCTGCAGCTCATAGCCAGGTGCCTGCTGTGGAGTGGGAAAGTGTCCAACGCAAGCTGAACTGGTGAACACACAGCAGCCACGGGGAATCAGTGCCTGGCTCTGTGATACCTGCAGGATGCACACGATCAGGGGAGCCGAGGTCACAGAGGGTGGGAAGTGGCAGAGAAACTGAGGCAGAATATGAACTTTCAAATAGGCGAGACACTTTAAGTCGCTAGACATGCTCACAAAACTGGCACAACCTTCAGATGGGGTTTCTCGAATTTGGAACAAGGCTTTTTGATTGTTAATGAAAGAACTCACAAGTTCTTAGTAGGAATAGATGTCAAGTCCTCCACCCGAGTTCCAAAAAATAATCCTACTTGTCCAGAGCGAAAGAGATTAAGCCTAAAAGCATTGTTATGAAAACAGAACTGGGGGTTTTACCAGATGGCAGGCTGGCCACGAGCCCACAGTGCAATTTTATTGGCAGCCCAGCTCCCACAGTCTGGGCACCTCTGTGGGACTCACGGCTCTCTGCGGGTGCAGCACACCTGGAGTCACCTGAAGCCACCTGGGTCAGGACACTGCTCTAAAGGAGAGGACAGGGCGCGGCGGGTGAGGTGCGACTTTTCCACCATGGGAAGAGGATTTGCATGCTCCACCCAGTCAGGGCAGTCCTGTGGGTATCAACAGACACTGGTTCTGTGCAGGACAAATGTCCTGACCTGAGGGTTATTCACAAGCGGATAGTCTGCTGGTGCTACACTGAGGGTATTCCTGCCCAAGGAGTGAATCAGGCTACATTGCCTCCTGGAGCAAAAAGCACTGGGTTTGGAGTCAGAAAACCTGGGCCTTTTCTATCTTCTACCTGCATGAACCTAGGTCATCATTTCCTTATCCAAGCAATATCTACTTTGTCTTTCCCCCTGGGGTTCTCTGAGGGCCACACAACATGGAACAGGAGAAAGCTGTGTAACTTCAGTGTCTAGTGTTATTTCCTCCAAAGATCTCTTCTGTGCACTGCTCCCCACCCAGGGCACTGGCTGCATAGGCTTAGCAGCACCATTTCCTATGGAGGTACCACCGCTGGCCTGACCCACCTCCAAAGCAGCAATAACACAGGGTCCTGTGGCTCAAAGGCCCCGAGATGAGCTCTAGGCAAAGCTCAGCTTCCAGGCCTGCTCTCAACGTTTTGGTGGTTCACAGGGTGGGAGGAAGGGAAATTGAGTCAGAACCACCCATCTGCACACAACAAGGAAGCAGTCCAGTTGCCCAGCGCCCTGCTCTTTGAGCTCCCTGTCTGACGCTAGCGTTTTGGGAAGTCAGCCAAGGCGGTCTACTTGGGTTGACTTGGATTTGGGAGGAGTCTCATTCGTCAACTCAAAATATTAGCTTTAAAACATTGTTCCCTTTTCTGGCCTCAGTTTTCCCTGTGTAAATGGGAATGTTGTTGACCTCAAATGAACCCAAGAGTTCCTGCGGGTGGTGAAGTGAGATAGTGTGTATCTAGACATCGGCTTTACCTCAGCCTAGCCGTGTGACCCCAGACAATTACTCAAATTCTCTGTGCCTCAGTTTAACATGTAACCGGAGATAACTATGTTTACCTCTAGGATCACTTGTAAGAACTAAAAGAGATACTACTGAGAATTTGCTCAACACAGAGGTGCACAGTAAGTAACTTTATGACCATCTCCTTGGAAATCCTGAGATTGTTGTAGCCACAGGATACCAGGGGTTTTCCACAGCAGGAGGGCCAGATTTGAGGAGCAAAAGCTAAGGGGAAGACTATGGAATTTGGATGAGGCCAAATTCCCCGAATGAGGCAAAGAGCCCCAAGGAACAGGGAGAAAGATCCAGGGACCATTCCCTCCACTCACGGGAGTACAGGGTTGGGAAGATTCTTAAGTGAGGAAGTGGGGTTCTGGACATCTGGATTGTCCTGAGCCTTGGGGTTTCCAGACGCCCCCACCAGGGGCTTTTCCTGAGTCCTGGGGTTTCCAGGGCCCCCAGGACGGGCCCCCAGCCCAGGCTCGACGCCCGCCCCTCCCGCAGGTGCGCCGGCGCAGCGCTGGTCCATGCAGGTGCCGGCCGAGGTGAGCGCGGCGGCGGGCGAGGCGGCGGTGCTGCCCTGCACCTTCACGCACCCGCACCGCCACTACGAGGGGCCGCTGACCGCCATCTGGCGCGCGGGGGCGCCCTACGCGGGCCCGCAGGTGTTCCGGTGCTCGGCGGCGCGCGGCAGCGAGCTCTGCCAGACTGCGCTGAGCCTGCACGGCCGCTTCCGCCTGCTGGGTAACCCGCGCCGCAACGACCTGTCGCTGCGCGTCGAGCGCCTCGCCCTGGCCGACGACGGCCGCTACTTCTGCCGCGTTGAGTTCGCCGGCGACATCCACGACCGCTACGAGAGCCGCCACGGCGTCCGGCTGCGCGTGACCGGTGAGGCGGGCCGGGTCCGAACCTCTCCCGCCGTCCCAGTCCCAGTTCCGCGGGCGGAGCCGGTGCCGGGGCCCGAGCCGCGTCCGCGATAGGAAATGGACAAGAACTAAGCCCTCTCTTCTCCCCCTGCGGGTCTCAGACCAAGCCTGGTCCCGGAAAGAGTGGGCTGGGGCCCGGGGATCGGCGTTGTGATGCAGCCCGTAGACCGTGGCTGACCCCAGTAGCTCGCAGGCCAGGGTGAGGTGAAAGGAGGGAACGACCCCGAACGCGACGAGCGCTGCGGGGAGTGTGTGCCCCGAGCCCCCGCGCTCCCGGACGAGCGCACACGACGCTGGGCGCTGTACTAGACCCTAAGATACGAAGATCCCGCGCCAGGGTCCCAGGCCCTTAAGGCAGTGGCTCTCCACTCCGGGGCCCAGCTCTGCGACGTGACATTAATGACCCTTTAGCGAGCACCTCTACGGGGTCGGGCCCTGCTCCAAGCGCCCCAAAGGGATTAATTAGCGAAGTTTTCCGAACAACCCCATAGGGTAAGGGCTGCTGGGATTTCCATTTTACACGTGGAGAAACTGAGGCGTAGAGAGACAGAACGGTTTGCCCAAAGCCACACTCGTTTGGGGACCCAGGCAGCCTGGCACCCAGACGCCCACTCCCTCCTCTGCTCCCCCCACTCCTGTGAAGCGCACAGAGGAGGGGCACCCCCTGCTTTTGCCCGCTGCTCGCGCTCTGCGCCCCGCTCTCTCACCCTCCCCCGCCTGGGCGCCGCTCAGTGACGGCCACCCGCCTTCTCCTCAGCAGCCGCGCCGCGGATCGTTAATATCTCCGTAGTGCCCGGCCCGGCACACGCCTTCCGCGCCCTCTGCACAGCCGAAGGGGAGCCGCCGCCCGACCTCACCTGGTCCGGCCCGGCCCTGGGCAATAGTTCGGCCGCCTTGCGGGGCCAAGGTCACGGCCACCAGGTGACCGCCGAGCTGCCCGCGCTGACCCGCGACGGCCGCTACACCTGCACAGCCACCAACACGCTGGGCCGCGCCGAGGCCAGCGTCTACTTGTTCCGCTTCCACGGCGCCAGCGGGGCCTCGGCGATCGCGCTGCTGCTTGGCGCGCTGGGCCTCAAAGTGCTCCTGCTGCTCGGCGCTCTGGCCGCGGGCGCTGCCCGCCGCCGCCTAGGTGGGTGCGCCCCGAACCTGCGTGGGCGCGAGGGGCGGGCGGGTCGGGTTCTCCTCCGAGGTAAGGCCATGTAGCTGAACACCCATCTAGCATGGTGGATCAGAATGTCCTTTTGCACCTGTACATCAGCTCACCTTCTTCTCCCTGGAGCGGGGAATCAGAGCCCCTTTGCCCCCGGAAAGCACTCTGTACGGCTCTCAGGCTTTCCCCACCATTCCTGTGTTACAAGCTTTGAGCTTTGTGCTGCGGGGCTCCTGGGAATACTGAGACGTCTAAGGCTGGCTTCCCTGCCCTCCAAAGGGGGCTGAGTTAGCAGATCATGGCAGCAAGCTGTGAGAAGGGAAGCCCTAGGCCCCAGAAACGGTAGCTGGTGGAGGATGGGGTGACATATTCTGGTGGGACCAGAGGGAAGGCCTTACACAGTAGCGAAGCTAGTGCACATGAACTGGGGCACGAGAAGCCAGTGGTCCACCCAGCAGAAGGCACAGCATGGGCGAAAGGGTGGCAGCTTGAGCTCAAAGGGTGTCCTTAGAGAGCTGCCGCACACCTCGGTCACTGAACCGCGCGGGAAATTTGCTGTGTCCCAAAGAGGGAGGGACTTCCTAGAGTGTCCAGTGCAGGTCACAGCACAAACCTCAAACTCTCCAGGGATGAAATCCAGAATTTGTCATGGTGGCCATGACTGCCACCCTTACTTTGGCCACCCTTGCTGGTTCTTCACACTTATCAAGCATTTGTGCTTGAGGTTCCTCAGAAAGGTATTCACTCCACCTCTGTCCTCATTACCTTCCAGTAAGCTTTCAGGTGGAGGCTTTGGTGTCACTTCTGCAGAGCCTGCTGCCCAGTCTGTTGCATGAGTCCCTGGGGCCTTTTCACGGTGGGCTGGGCAATGGTGGTAGGTGTGTAGGTGGAAGGCTGCAGTACAAACTTGTTCCTCTCTCTGTCCCTCGCACAGAGCTCCCGGCCACCCAGGACACCCATCCGCGGTAAGTGAGCTCACTGCCTCACCCAAATCACCTAACCTAGTCCCATTGACTAAGGGATATGGGCTTCTCACAGCTGGTGGCATAGGAGAAAGAAGAGGCACGGGACAGAGCCAGGGTCTTCCTGCCATAGCAGGTCCCCTCAGTCCAGCACCCCCTTCCCTGGACAGACAGGCCACGCTGACCACCTGTTCACTTATACTACCCATGCTCAGGGCCTGGCATTCGTGGTGCTGAGGGGTAATTCTACGACTGTGATACCTTCTTGCTTCCAGGGTGTTTCTTCTTCCTGTTCTCCTTCTTCCTCTTCTTCTTCCTCTTCTTCCCCTTCTCTTTCCTCCTCTTCTTCTTCTCCTTCTTCTTCTTCCTCTTAGAGACAGAGTATCAGTCTGTACTGCAGGCTGGCTTGCCTTGAACTCGCTTATGTAGCCAAGCTAGCCTCAAACTCATGATGATCCTCCTGCTTCAGCCTCCCAAGTGCTGGAACTACAGGCATGCACCACCATACCCTGCCCAGATGTTTCTTCCTGTAGTCCCCAGCATTCTAGAAGAACCAGTCCCTCACAGAAGCCACCATGGAGATACTCATTCTCCCAGGCACTGCTAAAGTCTTCCCAAAGTGTCATCACAGGTTCCAAAGGCCTGGCTTCAATGAGGGGCCTGTAGACCCCAGCTAAGAAGCCATTGACATGACAGCCATGCTCTCCTTCCCTGTGGTGTCTGCCTGCATGAAGGCCAATGCCATGCTAAAAGGGAAAGAAACCAGCCCTGGACCCTGGGTGCTCTGTGCCTGATGCTTGCTCGGGTGGGGCTGAGAGGAACCCAACCTTTTAGGGCCCACTGGACGAGCCCAGCCTTCTCTCCAGCTAGAGTATCCCCTGCAGTCTCCATAACTTGTCACATGTCCCTTTTCTATGTAATTTGCTATCACACCAAGGCCCCTGAATTAGAAAACTGACTGTTTTTAGGCGTTTTAAAAGTTTTCAAGTACTTTCTGTGTAGCAGGCCTTGGTTTGGATACTTAAGAAACAGAAAAATCTCTGAACTCACTTTCCAGTGAGAAATTTAATAAACACAGAAAAAATACCATGTTAGATTGTAAAATAAGAGACTTGAAGTGATGAAACAAAGCCCCAAGGGACAGGGTGACCACACTGGGCTGTGCTGCATTAGATCAGGACGTTCTCTCTGAGGACATGGCATGGGGGGCCGGAAGCTCGAGGCTGAGCCTAGGGTGGCAGACTCTAATAAGGGAAGAGGTGAGAAGACACAGGTGCATCTGGAGGGAGTTAGGTGTGTACAGAGCCTGGAGCAGGGCTGGGTACCCATTCTGAGGGTGGTAGGAAGTCACTGTGTAGTATAAGCAGGTGAGAACAAGAAGATCCAGGGGAGCTGGGAGGCTGTGGAGCTGTTCGGACAGAGGTGCCAGTGGCAGGGTGGGAAGGTGAGCAGAGGGGCTGACCCAATTGCAAAGTGGGCAGCTCATGCTGAGGGATGGAGCCAGGATACCCCAGGGTGAAGGCTGGGCCTGGGGGCTACTTACTGGGGTGATGAGGGGAGAAAAGAGTGCAGGGTGAGAGGATCATGGGGAAAGGCAGACATGGAAGCCTGAGGTGTCCTTTACTATGTCCCAGACAGAAGTCTGCAAAGCAGCCAGGCCCAGAGACATGGGTCTGCAGGTGAGGAACATGGAGTTGGATTGTGAAGCCTCTGACAAAATCACTTCCTGGAAACAGAGACTCTGTGGTATAGGATGCTGTCACCTACTCTTGGCCCTGCCTCTGACATTCAGTTAGTCCCCAAGCCCTCTTGGTTCTGGCCCTATTGTCCCCTATTGAGTGTCCTTTCTGCCTATTGCTAGGGAAAGTTTAGGAAATCAGAGATCTCCCCACATATCAGCTGATTAGTCACCTCTCTTCTGTCTGCAGACCCCAGGCTCAGGAATCCAGTTATGAAAATTTGGGCCAGATGAACTCCCGGAGCCCACAGTCTGCCACATGTTCCCCAAGAGGAGCTCCTCAGCCACCAGCACCTACTTGCGCACTGTGAAAAGTGGAAGCCAGGGCAAGGCTTGGCTGGTACAGCCCTTCCTAGTTCCCAGGAACCTTGGCAGCCCCCAGCTGAGGGATCAGTGGTCAGGAACCAGCTCACAGAGGTTCATCTGGCCGACTTACTTGAACTTCTGTCTTATGACCTCCATGCTATTCATGCCAGTGGGGCCAGCATTCTGAAAGTTTGTGTGTGTGTGTGTGTGTGTGTGTGTGTGTGCGCGCGCACCTGCACATGCCTTTGTTGGTCAGCTCTCCTGTTACTGGGACAAAACACCCACATCCACAAGTTAAAGGAGGAGAGGTTTAACTGGCTCACAATTTCAGAAGTTTCAGTCCAGAGTCAGCTTTGGCTGGCTTCAAGGGAGAAATGTCATGGCAGAAATGTGTGGTGGAGCCAAGCTGCTCACTTCGAGTGGGGAAGAGCACCAGCGAGAGATACCCTCCAAAGGCACCCCCAGAAACCTGCCTTCAACTGGGCCTCACCTCCTAACAGCACATCCAGCTGTGAACATCCGTGGGTTAGTCAGCTGATGAATACAGTAACCCCATGCTCCAGGCACCTTTCCTGGAGTCCCATAACCCAGCCAAGATGGCAACCTCAGCAGTCACAGTGTACCTCAGCATGGAACTTCTGGACAGCTTCCCTCATTCTTTTTTTTCCTAGGACACCGTAGTAAAGTAGATCGGAAACTGGTCATAGACTCTGGGGGCCCCAGGCTCCATCCTGCTCTACCAAGTTGCTATGTGGACTGGGATAATGTCTTCACCTCTCTGGATCTCAGTTCATCCACCATTGATCATGGGCAGGAATAGTCTTCCCCTCTGCCTAGTAGGTCTATCAAGATCTGAGGAAATAATAGATGTGACAGGGTTTTTGCAATGTTCAAGGCTGTCTCAGATTTGGGCCTTTGGACATGCAGAGTTTTTAGATAAGTTGGCAGTCACACCAGGCTTGTAATGAACAAAGCATTCCAGAGAAGTCGCAGACTGAGTTGTGCAAACTGAGGTCCAAGGAACATCAAGTCCTGGAAATTTGGTAGCAGGGAGAGGCCTGGAGTTCCTGCTTCTTGCATTATTCACCGAGATTGTCCCACACCCTCTGCTCACCTCTTACTGTCCCAGATGTTCTATACTGTCTTCAGCTGGGACCTCCAGGAGAAGGAACCAAAGAGCCATTATCTCAAAGCATCTGGAAGCTTCTGTCTCAAGGACTGAAAGCTGGGAGACCTGACAGGTGCTGTGGGACACTATAATCTATGGTCCACATCCTCCCTGGATGTGGGTCCAAAATGCACTGGCACTCTCACCCTATTTGCCCAAGCGCAATGAGGCTAGCCTTGTGGGGTGCTGCACTCCCTTTTACATATCAGCGTGAACTTACTGGTCCTACTAGCGAGAGGAGAGGCATGCTTGGGAGCCAGGCAAGAAGACAAGAGGAAGGGCCCACAAGATAGCAGACTAAAGAGGCCATGATGCTTTTCTGGGAAGATGCTGTGAAGGTTGAGAGGTTCACCCAGCTCCCCTCCTCACCACAGCCTTTGCCAGGGCAAGAGGGTGAAGGCAGCTCATTATTGGGATCCAACCAGAAGCCTGCCTGAGTGGTTGAGGTCACAGAAGTTGACATCTGTACCTTCTTGCAGGAGGACACATTTGGGCACCTCTATGGAGAGTCCTGTATCATCAGGGAAGTAGTTGGAGATACAGAAATGTGAGTGTTAGAACATCTGCTTGGGGACTGGGGATTTAGCTCAGTGGCAAAGTGCCTGCCTGGCAAGCGCAAGGTCGCGAGTTCAGTTCCCGGTACCGGAGAAAAACCAAAAAAAAAAAAAAAACAAACAAACAAAAAAAACCAAAAAAAAAAAGAACATCTGCTTGGTCTTTGAAGCCAGTTTCACACACACACAAAAATAAGTAAATTAAAATTTAAAAAAAATATATATATAGTAATGTGAATTATTGCTTCTGTATCTGCTGTGTGCTAGGAATTGGGCAACACGTTTAAGGCTACAAAAATGAAGGAGTAGCCTGTATCAGTCCAGCGGGGCTAGATTGTTCTTCTGTAACAAACTCCAAATCAGCAGCTAAAAACAAGTTTATTTCTTGCCAGTGCTACAGGCCCATCACAGACAGACAGGGAGGCTTCACACATTGTTACTCAGGGACCCGGGCAGAATCCATCATCTCTTACGTTGTGGACTGGAGGGAAGAATCCTCTAGAGGGAGCTGGGTGTGAATGCCCACTACTCAAGAAGCTGAAGCAAGAGGATTCCAAGTTTGAGGACTTCCTGGGCAATTTACTAAGACCCTGTCTCAAAAAAATAATAATAACAGAAAGGGCTGGTGACATAGCTCAGTGGTAGAATGCCCCTAGGTTTGATCCTCAGTAACACACACACACACACACACACACACACACACACTTGCCTAGAGGGCTTCCCACAAGTGGTCATAGCTCAGACCTAGCCATGCGCTCTGCTCTCTCAGAAAAGACTGAAAAGAGCAACCCCACATGGTATTCAGAAAGGGAACACAGGGACATTTGGGAACAGTATTGGTGGCTCCACAGTGAGACCTTTCTGAAGCTCTCACGGTAGTGACATTGGGGCTGGGGATATAGCTCAGTGGCACAAGTGCCTACCTGGCAAGTACAAGGTCCTGAGTTCAATTCCCAGTACCTAAAAAAAAATAAAGTAGTTCAAGCTAGTGACATGGTAAATGGAAAATCGTGTAAGAGCAGAGGTAGCTGGGGAGCACATATGAGGGATAACTTCCTGTCATGAGGAGGCTTCCTGGAAGAAGGTACATGGAGAGTACATGCCAGCTATGCAAATAGGGGAGGCCAGAGTAGGGCTTGGGAGGTAACCTTTGTCCCTAAGCAAAGGGACAATATGAGCAAAGAGCAAGAGGTCATACAGAACATGGCCAGAAGCTGCCAGAGCAGGAGGACAGAGGTAGGGTATGGCCAGAGCCAGAGTAGTAGGATACCCCACGCTGGGTGCAGGGTGCTGCCAGGGTGCATATGCTACTTAGCAGTCTTCTCTCACCCATGCAACCACTACCTTCTCCAGAGCCAGGATGCTCTGCGCTGGGGCCTGGGGCTCTTGGAGCAGTGTCTCTGTGAGTTCCAGAGTCACCTGGTCAAGGACTCTTGGGGAGCTTGTCCAAGTGCCCATTCCAAGCATCATCTGGACCTAATGAACCACAAGCTCGGTGATAAGAGGCTAGAATTGTAAGCAAGTTCTTTAGGTGACTTTGCCTTAACTTTACAATCATTTTTTAAACACACACTAAAAAAGCTGAAAAAGATGGTCAGCCATGTGCCCAGCACCTCCATTCACCACTAATTTCTTACCACATGCTCCGTGTGTGTGTATGTGTCTGTGTGTGTGTGTGTGTGTGTGTGTGTGTCATTTGTAAGTTCTGACATTGCAGTACTTCACCCCAAGCACCTCCAAAGAACAAGACTGTTCTCCATACTATCACCATTCTTGGGAAGATCAATAATAATTCAGCAGTACCACCTGTCTTGTTACTTTTCTCATTGCTGAGACAAAATACCCAACACCCACAAGTTAAGGAATAAAGGTTTATTTAGTTCACAGTTTGTACAGATTGCAGTTCCTAATCAGCTGTCTTCAAGACAGGGTGGCATGGTACAGGGGTATCGCAGAGGAGAAACAGTTCATGATGGGCAGAAGACACTAAACTACAAATGACAGTAACAGCTTCTTTCTGCCCTTTAATATTCTATCTAATCTATTAGCCTTAGGGTAGATAGCAAACCAGTCAGTGGACTGACTTAGTAATCACACACCCTTGATCCCAGTACCACACACTCTAGATCCAGCCAGCCACCTCTAAAAAGCCCCACCTATACCACACTATGTGCTACCTATGACTGCATGAGGCTTTGGGGGGACATCTAAACACAAACTATAATATTCCCTTAGAGTCCACATTCAAATTTTCCTCAGTTGTCCTCTAAATACCCTCTTTAGCTTGTTGCTTTTATCCATTTTGACTCTGGATGGTTCTGTTTGAGACTCATTAGGTAACAGGCCTGATGTTTGTTTCATGCTGCCTAAGTACAGGGGTGCTAGCAATGATACAGCAGTCCTTGCTGTGGGATTTGCACTTGGCAGGAGGACTACCTTGGAACAGAAAAAGCACCATTCCCTCAAAAGCCTCTGACAGAGCAGTTCCAGCAGTGATGGGCCATGGAGCACAATGAGGGACAGAAGCCCCCTCCCTTAAGGGTGCACCTTGTGCGTAGGCAGCCTCCTACTTGGCCTCCCCATAAAACAGCTGCTCCAAGGAGCAGGGGTGAGGATGGTGGGGGACAGCACTTGACCCACCCCTCTGGGCTGTCCCTGTGAGAGATCTGCATGGGGCAGAGCCGCCTGTCCACCCTCATCCACCCTCTGAAGCACTCAGGTTCTGCTGCTGAAAAGCAAGGACAGAGACATGATCAACACCCTTAAGCCAGCACAGCTGGACCAATTCCCCTGAGGCCAGGGAGTCCAGAAAAGAAATGACCTAGTAACTTGATGTTTTCAAAATCAGACTTCCCAGTGTGGCCTGAGGTGGGGGGAGACAGGATTGGAGCCCATTTTCTTGCCCCAGCACCCCAGGCTAAAGTGTGCCTGCCAGCCACTCTCCAACCCTTCAATCCTGTGCATCTATCTGCACAAAGAAGCCAAGCCCAGACAAGGGCACAGGAGACACAAGAAGGCCATCCAGTCCCCGGGGACTCCTAAATTCATGTTAATCCCAAATGGAATGCACAGACTCTCCTAGCATTCTTTGTGCCATGTAAGGTGTGTCTTATAGAAGTTTGTGAAAATTAATACTAAGGAACTCCCTGGCACTCCAACATTGAAAGCAGATTTTTCAGAGCAGACCCTAAACAAATGAGGATGCTGCCCTCTGCCTGCAGCTCTGCCCACCTAGACCACCACCCCTCCTCCTCCCCACCAACACCTTCGGGCCTTGAGAGCCTTCATGCAGCTCTTGCACCCCCCACCCCTTAAAGCTACATTGCATACCAATAGGGGCTCTCTTGATCTCTCCAATGGGCTCCTGTGTGTGCCAACTCTTAAACCCCCAGTTATGAATTCTTTTTGAACTGAGAGGCCTTACCATTGTGGTAAACTACAGAAGCTTTTGCCCTTACAAACTTGCAAATGAGAAAAGAAGGAAAACATGGAAACAAAGGTTTGTAAATGGAGAGGAGAAGACGGGCTGAAGGGAGGGCGGGGGAATAGAGAAACAAAAAACAAGTTATATCATGTACAAGTACAAATTCTCTATGATGAATGTGATCGTTATGTGTATCAAAAATGTACCAATAAAATCTAATTTTAAAAACTTCCTAATTTAAAATTTTTCCTAGTGTGATTTATGTATGAAAGAGAGACCTGCAGACCAACTTGCCCAAAACAATGAGAAAGGTCCATCACAGGTAAATTAAATTTGAATGTAGTTTATTTGCAGAATTTTATTTAATCAATTCTGATTTCTCCCTGTTTTTCACCATTATATAAAAATTCATCCTTTGTACAAGCATCTAAAATGTTGAACAAGGAAGAAGTAAATATTGCACATTTAATGACCAAAATAAAGTTGTGGTTTTTAAGTCACATCAGACAAGAGGGAAAGAGAGTTGAACACACTGAAGTACTTATCTCTGACAGTGGCTTTTAAATTCCTGAAAGAAAAATAAATTCTCTCAGTGAAAGATATTACATTGGTACATTTGAAAAGTTATAATCAATAACATTTCTTAGCAAATTCATTATCTCAAAATAAGATCAGTAGTTTAAGTTACCCTCATCAGATATCAGGAACCCATCCAGAGGGAAGGAAATGTTCTAGACCACAGGATGCCTGAGGCATGCTCTAGAACATGTCATCACTGCAGAGAAGAACAAAGTGAGGATGATCAGTGCTGAGCTGTTAAGAGCTTTACCCAGCTTGATCCAGACACAAATGGAAGATCACAGAAGGGGAGTTTTTGTAAACCAACACACATATTTCTCAGCACTGTATTATCCATTTTGCTTAACAAGACAAAGATAATTGAGAGAAAAACAATCAGCTACTACCTCAAAATAAGCTTGAAAATTGGCCCATAGTGAAGAGCAGACAGTAGTAAATGATTAAGGAGCGAATGCCTTATTCTTTATGCAGATATGTAATGAGACCAGCAAGTGGTATTAACCCCAGGTCTGGAGTTTGAACTTGGCAGTTTAACATTCCAACTGCCCGAGCTGATGCTACCTCAGTGTCCAAAGCAGTAGGCTGCACTGCTGGGACTACACAAGCATGATTCATGCCAGGGTGGGAACCAGGATAAGGCAACCAAGACACCAAAGGCAGAAAACACAAGAAAGCACACTTTTGGCACCTACAAGTGACTTAGTATTTGCGCCCTCTATGCTTCTTTGGGCCCACCCTAGACCTAAGCCTGCTAATCTTGGGCACAGTAACATGGATGGATTTGGGTACTTTTCCCCCAAGGGAAGTCCTGTTGAACATCAGGTGGAAGAGGACTAATGCGTCCAGGGCTAAAGG